TACACTTCAAAACATTGGAATTCAGCACAACAAAAGTATTCCACTGTCAAAAAAGAAGTTTTAGCAATTGTTTTATGTATTTCAAAATTTCAATCTGATTTATTAAATCAAAAGTTTTTAATCCGTGTTGATTGCAAATATGCAAAAGACATTTTACAAAAGGACGTAAAGAATCTAGCATCTAAACAAATTTTTGCTAGATGGCAAGCTATCTTAAGTGTTTTTGATTTTGAAATTGAATATCTCAAAGGCACCTCAAACTCTCTCCCTGATTATCTCACTCGTGAATTTCTGCAGGGAAGATAAACAGTGTCCTGTCATGCCGAAATCGGTAAAATCAACCTCTTCTAAAAAGAGGAAAGGAAAGCTAATCCTGGCTGGGTTAGCTAAAAAATTAGAAAAAACTGGGTCTCCAGCCCAACAACAATCTGGGTCATCTACCCAACCCCAAACTGGGTCATCTACCCAAAGAGTTGAGGATACTTCCTCTTCTAAACAATCCAAAGCAGACTATGCAATGCCAATCCAAACACTTCAAGCCTTCCAAGACCAAGGTTTGACCCATCTACCAAAGAAAACCTGGGCTGAAATAGCTTCAGAAGATGAACAGGAAGAAAGTCTTTCTGTTTTGATTGATAACCTAAAAACCAAGCAGATCTTTAACCGTCCAAACAGGGCCCTAGAAATCCAACCCAAACCTATTTCTACCCAGAAACCAAAACCTCAAACACCATACGTCTCAAAGAACAAGTTTCTAGACGTAATCCAAATGGAACCATCCTACTGGGATAATAAACCAACCAAGGTTCCTGTGAAGATCTTCCCCAAAGACTTCAAAGGACGACAATTTCATTTCAAACCACATTCTCCAACTAAATCCCAAAATTTTTATGAGTTTATTCTACTTGATTCAAACTCTATTTCCATCAAACACTATAAGAGTCCAAAAGACCCTGAGTTTATTACTCATTCAACCATCCAGATTCTCAAGGTAATCACCCCAGCAGAATATGGAAATCCAAATAAAATAACCAAATTTTCCCAGCCTTATGATCCAATTGGATATAATTATTGGGACTATGAATTAGCCTGGACCAATGTCTTCTTCATGCAAAATAAAGAAAACAAACATTCATGGTTAATTTACTTGAAGCAAAATATCCAATATAATTTCCCGCAATGGTTTAATAAATGGTGGGATTATTTTGGACCAATCCTTGATATCCTTCCTCCACAAATCTTTGAAGGAATGACAATCTTTTCCAAAAAATTCGACAATCTAGCAGATCCCTTTCCAATAGATCTGCATTTTTTCTCAAAGTTCTCTCTGGCATGGATATTTTCATGGCAGTACAATTACGGCGAGAAAACAACATCAGACTACCATTACTCAGGAGACAAGCTTTTGTTAAATGGTGGATAGAATTTGATGCTTCAAGAGCTTACCCAGAAAATGTCAAGCTCTGGTTTAAAAAACATCCAAAAAGCATCAAGCCAGCTGATCCAGAAACCTCCCTTTTCTTGAATCAAAAGGCTCAAATCACAGCAGCATTAGCAGCATCAACCAGCAAAGAAAATTTTGCAAAGAATTTGCAAGGTATTCTTCAATTACTCCAAGAAGAAGCTGAGAGTTCTAAACAGAAGACAGATTCTTCATCTCCTTCTATCTCTTCTTCAACAGAAGACTTCTACCAAAATGAGGATGATTGTTTTGGAATCAACTTAGCAGAAGACTGTTGAAGAAAACCACTGTAGTGACGTTGATGGCAAAATGACATGAGCATGATGTCAGCAGAAGGTGACGCATACAGTGACGTAATCAAAGTGTCGGCAGAAACTGTAGCATCACGAGTCAGTTACTGTTCACTTAACCTACACTGTTCAAACAGTACCGGTCATGTAACTTGTACTGTAGCAATAATGATTTTTCAATCTATTTAAAGGGTTGCTTCAGTATGTTGAACACATCCTTTCATTTAGCTGAGTTTAGAGAGATAGTCTAGAGAGAGAGACTGCGAGGTACGTCTAAGTTTTCTCTTCTTCTCTGATTTTTCTTTCAATCTGTATCTGTAATCGTTATATTTCCTTATGTTTGAATAAAATATGTTTTTATATCTGCTGATGTAAAATCAATTCTTCTCTTCTCATTTTCTCACGCTAGTGAAATTACCCCAGCGTTCACCTTAAGTTTATTTTATGTTTTAATTTCTGCATTTTAATTTCAGTCATTTATTTCATATAGTAGTCCGTCTACTTTCCTGCTTTCCATTTCTGCTCTAGTTTACTTCATTTTCCTCCTCACACTTCCGGAATATATATATATATATATATATATATATATATATATATATATATAGGGAAAAACTATTCTCATGTTACATGAGATAAGTTTTTCCTCCTACACACCCTTCGATAACTGTGTCATATTTTTATTTTATTTTTATTTTTTCAGGTGGTGGAGCCTACAAGTTTTTCTCTATGACATGCGATAACTTATCTCCTTTAACATGAGATTAAAAAAGCCATATATATATATATATTAGGGCCGGCAAAATGGGCTGAGCCCGCCGGGCTGGCCCGCCCCGCCTGCCAAATGGGGCGGGCTGGGTTGAGTCTTTCAACCCACCAGCCCGCCAAACCCGCCCCGCCAAACCCGCCAGCCCATATGGGTCAGCCCGCCAAGTCATTTTTTTTTTTTTTTTTTAGGTTACCCAATTGTTATGTAGCTCCGTATCTTAGATTTCTCTGCTTGCAAGTGGCTTTTTTGAATTGTTGTGGACTGCTCATACAACACTTTGTTACTTGTTTTGTTATTCTATTTTATCATGATATGATTTTATTTTTTTATTATTATTTTTGGATTGAAAGATGCATATTTATATGCAGATTATTAAACACTGATCTTCTTGGTTTCATAAGCACATTAGGATTTTATACAGATTTTTGTATGCTTTTATGCAGATTTTTTTATGTGATTTTATGCAGAATTTAATTTTTTGTATTTTATTTTTTTATTTTAGGCGGGCTGGCCCGTAGCCCGCCAGCCCACTCATAAAACGGGCCGGGTTACTCAATTCAACCCATTTTGTCAAAACGGGCCGGGGCGGGCCAGCCCATTTTGGGCGGGCTAGCGGCGGGCCGGGGCGGGCTGGCCCATATTGCCAGCCCTAATATATATAAGTTCATTTTTCTACAATCAATTTAAATAAGTTATCTTTATTGAGCTCAAAACGATCTTGTTATGAGACAGAAATCAAGGTATTTTTGTAATAATTTATTTTAGGGTCATAATAGCCTTTTTCATTATAATTTTTTAATATTTTAACTCTAAATGACGTCGTTTTGAGAGTGAATATGGATAACTTATCTACATTTATTGTAGAAACATTAAAGCATATATATATATATATATATATATATATATATATATATATATATATATGGGGAAATCATTTCTACAGCTGCTGTAGATAAGCTTCGCTACAGCTAAGTAAAACTACGTCGTTTTGGTCTAAAACTTTAAAAAAAAAAAACTTTGTTTTCTGGAATTCAACGTCTTCAATGACAGAACAGATCGTTTTTCCTCTTCTCCTTTGCAACTTGAGTTCTTCTCCTTCGTCGGTGGTTTTCCTTCATCACCGGTAGCCCTTCCCCTCTTCCTTTTTGGGCGTTTACTCTCCCTCCACCATTTTCTGGTGCGCCTATGCTCCACCACCTGTAGGTAGAAATTTTTTAATCCCATTCTGTTACAGTTCTTCAGTGCCCTAAATTTATTTCTTCAGTGCCCTAAATTTATTTTTAGGTGTTGGCAACTCCCCCCCCACTCTTTTCTGAAAAATCTATAGACTCTGTTGCGTGCAATTTAGAGATAATTCTTGTTTTTGAATAATTTTTTTGCAAATTGGTGGATTTATTTCTTCTACATTCCTGTATTGGCTTATTGCACTACTAGAATTATGTCAATAATAAAATGTTATTATTGTTTAAATTATTAACAGGAAGCAATACCAGCAAAGTTTTTCATTATATAATTATCCAATGGATTCTTCTCTGTTTTGGAATTACAGGTGCTCTCTCTCAATTGGCATTCATACGAAAATTGGAAGAATCATATGGTATAAAGTTGTACTCTTTCTCTTAGTATTGTGGCTTAATAGTGTTTAAGGGGCTGTTTGGTTTTTATTTTCAAGAACTGCTGGCTTAACAATAAAATATGCTACCATATTGATATTTTTTCTTTAATTCATGAATGAATTTCAAACTTTTTATTGCTGTGCCTTCTGGGTAAAGTGTTTGTTTTAATTTTTTGATAAAAAATAATATCTTTGTTAATGTTGTGCCTCTATTGACCATGTTAATGCTCCTCTGTGTAAGTTTAAATAATACTGTTACATTATCTTGTGCAGAATATATCATTACTTGAAAGTTGTAACTTGTAAGTAGAGTTAAGATTTTCATATATCAACTTTGGATCTGCCTTGAACTTATGTCTACTTATATTCATTTTGAGTGACTGAATAGAAGCTTGAATGGTGCAATGTATAATTAATTTATATGAAATCAATTACTTTTATTTAAAATAAAAAAGTATAAATGCCTTTCTAAAACGAAATTTTATTTAAATCTTTGTTTGATTTGTGCTGCACATTATTAGAGATCCTCTGCGGCTCTAGTCTTATGTTCTTATCTCTGTTAAACTAGACAATAGGATTAAGTGGTATCACCCTTTCAGAAAATTTAAGAACCAAAACTTTTTATTGAGGTTCATATCTCACTCATAGAGAGAGATTGAATGTAGACTAGAAAAAAACAATTGGCATCCTGTTTATCCTTTTATAGATAAACCAAGATGGAGCATTGTTGTGGTGCTACAAGTATCCTGTTCTGTATTTAAATGTAGCCTAAAAATTTTGTTGAATTCTTTTCTATGCTAACACCTCTGGTTCAGAAAAATAATTTTATATATGCAGGTTGTAATCTAGACTTATACAAGGGAACTCATGGAAAAGTGTGATAATCTCGCCAAAAGTGTTGTTGAGACACAATCTCCAGGATCATCTACTGTTTTGGTTGCACGTTTTGATGGTCAGGTAAATGATTAACTATTATTTGAATTCACTATACATGACATGCAGTATGCCTATGTTGGAGTATAGGACTAACTATTGTTCAAATTTTTTCATATATTCAAGACGGATCACTCACAGATAACAACTATTGAAGACATTGACATGAGTGAGAGTTTAATATATTGTGATAAGGTTGTTGATTTGGAGAAAGACAATGATGATTTTGGAGAATATAATAAGTGTGAAACTATGGAAGACGAAGATGGTGATTGTAGGGAAGATAACGTGCATGAAATTGTGGGAGCTGATGATATGAGCTTCATGGATACCCCTATTTTGGGTAGAGTCTTTAAGACAATAGAAAAAGCTTATGACTTTTATAATGATTATGCAGAAAGTAAAGGATTTGGAATACGTAAGCACTGGTGTAATAGGAGTACAAAAACACAACAGCCATTTAGGTGGAATTATGTATATGCAAAGCAAGGTGTGAAACGACTTCATGATAAAAGAGTTGATGTTGACAATGTCAAAAGGCGAAGGGAAACAAGGACTGATTGTTCAGCGATTTTACAAATAAAGTTGGTTGATGGATCATGGGTTGTGGAAAAATTCAATGATACACACAACCATCCATTGATTAACACTCCTACAAAGGTGAAGAAGTTTTTTTCTCATAATGATTTACGACGCTCAGGCATTACTAAGTCGATGGTTTCTAAGCTTTATCAGGAGGGTTTAACATCTTCAAAAATCTCAAAGGTGGTTAACGCTATGAACGAAGATGTTAATATTACTCCAATTCAAATTAGCACTATTATATCAAGCTAGAGACATAGTAATGTAGGCCGAGAATGCCAAGGCATTGTCAAACACTTTCAAAGGAAGTCTGTTGTTGATAGAGATTTTTATTTTGATATGCACCTAGCGGAATATGGTACATTAAGAAGTGTCTTCTGGGCGGATGGTAGGTCAAGAGTTGCATATGCCCAATTTGGTGAAGTCCTTGTCTTTGATGTGACATACAGAACAAACAAGTTCAAGTTTCCTTTTGCCCCTTTCGTGGGTGTTAATCACCATGGGCAATCAATTTTATTTGATGCTGCCTTGTTAGAAGATGAAACAGAAGCAACCTTTACTTGGTTGTTTGAACAATTTCGAACATGTATGTTTGATAGGTCTCCGGTTGCTATTATAACTGATCAAGACAAAGCTATGGGAAAATCAATTGCTAAGATATTTCCAGGAGCTCGACATCGTTTTTGTGCATGGCACCTGAAAAAACATGTTATGGAGCATAGTCAAGCACTTCGCGCACAATTTAAAGATAGTTTTGATTTTGACTTCCGTGAGTGGTATAAAAGTCAAAACATCGATGAGTTTGAAGGCAAGTGGGAAGCATTAAAGAATAAATATGATATTAGAGCAGGTAGTTGATTGGCTAACATGTATACTTCACGTCATCATTGGGCAAAGGCATACTTGAAAGATACATTTTTTGCCGGAATGACCACAAGTGGTCGAAGTGAGAGCATCAATTCATTTTTTGATGGATATGTCAACTCTAACACAATGTTAAATGACTTTGTCATCCAATATGACAAAGCAATCAAGTCTAGGAGGGATGCAGAAGAAGATGAAGATTTCAAAACAAGAAATACGAAGGCAATTTTGGAGACTGCTCACCCAATCGAAGCAACAGCCGGAGAACGCTACACAAGAAAAATGTTTGAGATCTTCAAAAAGGAGTGGAAGGTTGCCATTGGTGATTATTTTCATGAAAAGATTTCAACGGACAATAAATGTACCAAGTACCGGGTGGGATCTCGTGAAGTTGATAAAAAATGGTGGGCAATTGTCGACTACCATTTGGAAGAAACATTCACAGCTCATTGTTCTTGTGCAAAATTTGAAACTATGGGGATTTTGTGTAGACATACTCTATACATCCTGAAAAATATATTTTGTCTAGGTGGACAATGGATGCAAGTTATAGGGTTGGAGAATTTGCAGGCATTCATGTTGAAACAACTACTAATGAAGTCAGTGCATTGTCTTTGTGGTTGGTTCAATCTAAATTCACTATGGCTGTTTCTAAAGCAAGAGATTCTATTTCTGAGGTTAGAAGGCTTGATGCTATGATTTCTGAATTTCTACAACTATAATTGGAAAGAAAGAAAAAGGCATCTGAAGATGAAATGGTTTCTACAACGATAATGTTACACAAGTTTCACACATTAATGATGTGCGTGATCCTACTCTACTAGTCAAAACTAAGGGGCGTCCAAGGGTTGCTTCACGTATAAAATCTAGCATGGAAATGTCCTCAAAACAACAAAGGACTTGCAGTTATTGTCAAGGAAAAGGTCATTATAAGACTGGTTGTCAGAAGCTAAAGGTATGTGTGAAGTTGATATATGTGTTTTCCTCTTTAAACTTGATGAAAATTTTATTATGCTTCACTTGTAGATGGATGCTGCAAGAGATAAGCAACATGAATACTAGCTGTGGGATTGTCAATTTGTACAGATCCTTTAATACTGCCATTATTAGTACCAAGAATCTCCCGGGATGATTTCTCCAGAATTGCGATCACATTGTTCTTTGTTTTCATTATCTCCAGATGATCATCAAGGCTGTCCTTTGTTCTTGGTTTGACTGCTTTGCTGTAAAAAAAACCATTGATTCCCTACTGTAATAATACCCAAGGTTAACAGTCACACTTTGGAAAATGAATGGTCAGGTAAGACTTCTAATACAAATAAACATGGTTTTTTCCTCTTTATATCATGAAAAATGTCCCTGGGGAATCCATTTACACCATATTTTGTTTTACTTTATTTTATCAGTTAATTTTTCATTGCATGAAAATCACTTTAAAATAAAAACAGGAAAAACACTAGCTCATTTCTTTCACCATTTCGTAAATTCTTTTTTTGTTATAGTAATGATTTAATGACTAACAGCTGTTGTTGGACAACATAATTGTCTTGCAGTCATTTTAAGTTGTGTAATTTCATCCTTCGTTTCGGAGACTTCTACTGCAGAAGTATTTTTTTCATGGTTGACTTCGAGAGTGTACTTTCTTTTGGTCATTCATCTCCCATCTAAAATGCAGAACCATTCATTACAGTCAAGATTTGGATAAATTTTGCACGAGTAAGTTTGTTGGAATATTATAAAGAATAAATTTCAAAAAGATTTTCTGGTCTTAATAAAAGGAAAAAGGCAACTGATATAGAATATGAGTATAACATCATCAGCGTATAGAGGAGTAAGGAGTTAAGCAACAACAAGCAAAACAAATTTACAATGTTCTGCCAATAATGGTAAGGATCTAAGTATACTTCACACTTCCATGCATAAAGGTTAAATTCACACCGTAAGCCCAAGCACAAGCTTTAGGATTCTCTCCTTGATTAAAGGATGAGATTAATTCAAGTGCCAGGCGTATCAGTGGAAAAACCCAAAGTAGATTAATGTATTTTATAAAGATGAGACAATTAATAGGAGAAAAAGTCATCAAAATGTTTTACCAATATTATTTAATTTGAATTTAGAGTCAACACACATTGTCATAACCGCATCCAAATAATTGAAATTAAGTTCTGTCATTAATCATGATACTCCAATGCAAGCAAGTTCAGTCATTTATAAGTATCAATTAAAGAGAATTCCAGTAAAAGTAGTGCCCTTAATATATTGTAATTTTTGTTTTTGGGCTTTTGCCCTCCCTAATTACCAAAAAAAAAGAAAAAAAGAAAAGAATCTCAGTAAAAGTAGAACAATACCAGCAGCATAATCAGTTATAATTTTGATTTTGTTGGATTTGGACCTGGATAGTTTTCTTTCATATTCCTCTGAATTAGATAAAAATTACATAAAAATTACAAATAAAAGCACAAGTGGTTCATCGCCATCATCCTCTGAATTCTCAATTTGTACTGGTGCCTTAATACTGCTATTATTATTACCAAGACAGATATTCCTGGTGAGTCTTCCCCAATTTCTCTGCAACCACTTTAATAATTGGATTCTGAAGGATGTCACTCTTGAGCATTCCTGGTGAGCCCAATGGTGAATAACCCCTGAAGAGAAATTCATCATATAGATAATTACAAATATTAGAAGAATCAAAAATGGTTTTTCAGTTACTATCATTTGAATTTGAATTTGAATATATACCAAGATCATTTTCAACAAGCCCAAAAAATAAGACACTGACAAATGCTCATATAATCTGGCGAAGGCAGCTTTTGAAATACTTTAACAAGGAGACAGAGAACCTGGATGGAAAGACCAATGATCAATCCAAGAAAATAAAATATCATAGTTGAAAAAATCTTTTTGACATTTATAAAGTACAAGTTATGCCACATTCCAACAAGTCGCCAATTTTTTTTTATTGATTCCTACATTGTACGTGCAAGTACCTCAAGCATGTCATGCTTCCTAACCATATAACTATAAAGTATTATCTAAGAAAATTCAAGCTCCACAACTAATCAAAACACTTTGCAAAATGCATTAGGAATAAACTTCTATATAAAAGGCAGAACAAACACAAACTGAACACCAAGAACATCTCCACAGTTTTCTATAGAAGAAGGAATTCATTACAAGCAGCATAGGAAAATCACTCTGAATTTGGAGCATAAGAGATCTTCCATTCAAAAAATAAAACAACAAAGAAAAAGAAACATCACTAGAGCAAAGCCGCTCAATCCTTCTGCATATCTATTTGCATCCAGCTTTAACAATTCGTAAACTAAGTTGTGTATTCTACATCTAGGTACTTGCAACAATGAAAAAATCATGGAGTCTGTCTTCATCTGAGTTCAATAATGACAACTAAGAAAATTATTTAATCAAGAATTCTTCATTAAATGAGCCAGCAGCTACAACCAGAAATATAGATAAAACATAAAAAATGTGACTCACATACAAAGAAAAACTCAATACGAAAAAATCATCATATAGGTCTCATCTTCTAATGCTAAATCCAGTATAACAGCAAGACAAAAATATACAGTAGTAGTTAGCAGGTTAGGAATGATAACTAGACCGTTTGGAAACCCTATATATCCATCAAAATAAACACGACTTGTACTTTATAAATTACAAAAAGATTTTTGAAACCCAAAACCACACAAACAGCAACAAAAGCAAAAACAAATAAACCAGTGAATAAGAAAAGAAAATAAATAAGTAAATTCATAAATAAATTAAAAGAACATGATAGCTTAAGGAATTGACAAACATGATATATTAGGGCACTGAAGAACTGTAACAGGGATTAAAAAATTTCTACCTACAGGTGGTGGAGCATAGGCGCACCAGAAAATGGTGGAGGGAGGGTGAACGCCCAAAAAGGAAGAGGGGAAGGGCTACCGGCGATGAAGGAAAACCACCGACAAAGGAGAAGAACTCAAGTTGCAAAGGAGAAGAGGGAAAACGATCTGTTCTGTCATTGAAGACGTTGAATTCCAGAAAACAAAGTTTTTTTTTTTTAAGTTTTAGACCCAAACGACGTAGTTTTACTTAGCTGTAGAGAAGCTTATCTACAGCAGCTGTAGAAATGATTTCCCCTATATATATATATATATATATATATATATATATATATATATATCGGGAGAGATTTTTTGACTCCGATGTAAGAGTTAGACATCTTACTACCCATCTCAGCCATTAATTTTCATTTATCTAACGATTGTCATTTATTTGAAATTAATAAAAACTAAAAGTTTGACACCAAATCCTAACCAAAGATTTTCACCAATCTAATGGTTATAATTTATTAGAAATTAATAGTTAATTAATAAGGGTGA